GGTGGAGAGGGGAATAGGATCAGGATTGGGGTAGAGCGCACAGGATGATGGTGATGGTACAGGGGTGAACTGGTGGTGGGGGTGGCAACTGAGATGAAAAAGTGGGCAAAATGAAGAATGACGTAAAAAATAAATACATAAAGTAAAATGCTCTTTGCTGGTGAAAGATTATTCGCAGTGTCCTCCTGGATCTCAGTGGGTTTAGTAGAAAGGGTGGGGACGCCGGTGGGGATCACTTCCTCTGCACATTCCCCACACCCATTTGGGCCGTGCACCCCGGGAACTGAGGTGCACTGTTGGAAAGACTTGCTGGTCAACACAAGTAAGCGAGTGTTTTCAGGGGTCCACGCACCATTTGATTGAATGTGACCTCTCATGCTTCCGGGCCACTGCTTGCCTTGCTCTGAGGCCTGGTCTAGAGGGGCTTAACGCGGCTGTAAGAGCCCGAGTCTTTGGAAAAGGCTCAAGGGCCGCCGAATGAAGGGGCTTTCCTATTTCAGTCTCTATTTTAAAACACCTTGCATAGCACTTGGGTAGTGACTTGAGTTTGAATTCCTGGCCCCAGACAGCACGTCCTCAGGGCCCTGAGAGACTCCACTTCCCTGGCTTCCCTACCACGAGAAAGGGGAGGGAGAGGGGAGAGGGAGAGAGGGGGAGGACAGAGGGGGAGGAGGAGAGGGGGAGGAGGGGAGAAAACCCTGAGCAATCTATTTTCTGTGTGTGTTGCTGCCAGAGAGGCAGTCAGCAGACCAACAGTTTGTGTAATGCTTCATGGGCAGGGACCTGCAAAGACAGAAGTGATCTATTAAAACAAAATACAATATCTTCTCAAACAAAAAAGGAGGAAGGGGATGGAGAGGGGGAGGAGGAGGAAGGGGAGGAGGAGGGAGAGGGGGAGGAGGGGAGAGGAGCGAGCAGTCCAGAGGCTGGTTGTGTGGGTCATTTACCCCCACCCCCGGAGGACCTGGCAGCACACGGGTGGGGTGGGGACTGGCTAACAGAACCCCCGCTCTGTCCGTGCCTGTCCTCTTGGGAGCTGCTCAGTGCCTGAGACGGAAACAAGTGTCTCAGGGTTTTATCTTCACACAACCGGGCCCCAGGGAAGACCACCCTCCCTCCAGTGCCCATCTGAGGGCATCACTCCCGAGGCCTGTGAGGAGATGGGCTGCTAAATGCACGGCGGAGATGGATTTCAAGGGTAATTTAGTCACAGGCAGCGTTCACCTGAGAGGCTGCTGCCCCCAGCTCGCAGGATCAGCGCGCGTGACCGCTCGCCAAGTGAGGGTTCCCCACCTGAGGCAGCTGAGCCTAGGAAGGCACAAGCCTCTTGGGACTCTCCTTCCCCAAGGCTGAAAAGTGAGGAGGACCCAGGGGCTACAGCACTGTGTCAAGATTAGAAAAGAGCAGAAACGAAACGAAAAGAAATCTTGGTGTTTTCACCCCCCCCCCCGAAAAATACTGACAGTTAATATGTGGGGTCTTTTCCCAGTTTGCTTGCCTGGATTGTGGTGTGTGTGCGCATGTGACTTTTGTATAAACATGTAATCGGATGTGCCTGGCCCATCAGGACACGTGCCAAAGCATCGTGGCCACGTCCCCCCCCCCCACAGACGAGGCCACATTTTGCTGGCCCGTGGCTGGTCTTCCTAGAGGCCGAGCTGCCCGGCCACTGCCTGGTGTGGTCATGGAGCTGCTGTGCAGGTACAAGGGTAGGTGAGCCCCCCACAAGGGGTACCTGACCTGAGACCTCAGAGGGAGGAGCCCTGGTCCTCCAAGAAGCGGGGCGAGGCGTTCCCAAGTGGATCCAATGTGAACTCATCCGCTAAGCAGATATTAAGAGCACATTTGGAATAACGTCGAAGGAAACACAGGCTCCATTTGCCTTTATCTCCACGGGCTGAGCTGAAGGGTGGCGGCCCTGCCTTCCATCGGCCAGTCCTGCCACGAACCCCAGAGGTCTTTCAGGCGCCACCCTGCTTAAGCCACCTCTCCAAAGAGAAAGGGCCGGCGATCTCCTTGAAATTGGGCATCTCTCAGTAGTGCTGACTTGATTGCACTCAGACGTCGTTCTGGCAGCGGCATGACTGCATTAAATTAGCATGAAACACAATGAATGGTAATTGCACGACTGTCATTTCTACAAGTGCAAAATTAATGTGTTCTGTAAACCGCCACTGCCGGCTGGGAACGCCGTGCGGCCTTGCCGGGAGTGCGCTGGCCATTCCGTGCTTCCTCTCCTCTTTTCTTGTCTCTTGTTCCTTCCTCAAACCCTGCCTGACCTAATTTGTATGCTCAGAAGGTAGCACTGCCAGACAGGAGCCGGGAGGTATGGGAGCGTTCTGGAACAATTCCTCCTCCTGGGTGAATAATACCGGCATAAACAACCCTCCGCGTATTCATGAGTAGGAACAAGCTACTTACGTAAAGCTTCTTACGAAGAGATGCACCAGGCGTTTACAGAAAACTCTGTCCAAATGCTCTACATTCATTTAGAAAGAGGAAGGGGCCGACGCGTACCTTGGGCAGCCCAGGGCAGGCGCCAGCCCGGCCCCTCCGTCGCTCTTGCTTTTGTGGGACATCAGGTCACAGGCCAGCTGACAGGCTTCCCTGGCCACGGCAAGCGTGGCCTGCCCCAGCCACCACAGGCGTATGCATGCCGGCTTCCAGGCTGCCCACTGGCTTTGCAGGCTTTGCGGGAGATTAACCGAACCATCCAAGACCGAATCGACGCAGCAGGAGCAGATGGTGTGAGAGCTGACCGGTTAGTGTGAGAGCTCAGTATTGGGCAGCATGGCCGATGCCGGGAACTGCTCACAGAGAGCCCCTGAGTCGAATGCTGATGCAGACGCAAATGTGCACACCAGTGGCAAAACCCGGCCGAGTGGCTTTGCGCAGAGTCCAGCGTCAATCCAAGCTCTCGAGGCAGAGGGACCGTATCCAGGCCACCGCAGCGCTGCTGACCGGCCACAGCCAGGCCTCCCTCTGGGAGGACAGCAACCTGCTGGCTTCCCTGAGCGGGGAGGTGTCAGCTCGAGTCCCCTTTCAGGGGCCATTAACTTTGTCACTCACTTTTTTTTGTTGAAGATTTATCTATTTGTGCATACACAACTGGGGTGCAGGCCAGAGGTGCGGGGGCAGTGAGAGGCTTCCCCAGAGACAGAGTGGGGAGCAGAACAGGCAGACTGGAGAGGCACACTGGTGAGGGGAGCAGCGAGTGGGCCGGGAGAGGTCTGCCGCACCCCGTGGGTCACTGCCCGGTCGGGGGATCGAACTCGCACTGAAGCAGCTGGCTCGCTCGCTCGCAGTGCTGCGCTTTAACCCGCTGCGCCACCAGGGAGCGCCCTATCATTCTCTTTTAAAGTGCGATGTGGCTTAGTCACAGCCAGTCAGTGCAGTTTGCAGAAGTTTGGGGAAAGTCTGCACCTTCCTCAGCTTCTTAATAAACAACACAGTTTGGGGGGTGACTGAGCAGACTTGCCACCCCAAGTGGGAGTGGAATTCTGAACATGTTACCCGCAGAATAAACTTGTAGACAGCTGGAAAACGCGTGAGAGGATTCAGGCTTCAAATGATATGTCAAGGACGCCGGGAACCTTATCCCCTTACCTTTGTTGCAAAACGTCCCGTCGTAAGCCGTGAGGGAGCAATCGCAGGAGTAGCCGTGGTATTTCTCGATGCACTTCCCTCCGTTCTCGCAGTTGGTCCCGTAGCTGGTGCAGTGGCCCGAGCATCCGGATTTGAAGCCTGAGGTGACTTTTGCCCTTTCCTCCAGGTCCAGGGTCACCCCGTTCATCCTCAGGGAGCGGATGCAGCCCAGGAAGCCTTGCTGGCCCCCGGCCCCACCTGGGGATGACAGAAGGCAACAGCTCAGATGCGTGGCCTCGCTGCGGCGGGTCCCTTCCCGGGCCTGCCGGCGGGACCGCACATACCTCCATTCTCATGCGCTGCTCAGTGCGCGGCTGTTTACTTACTTACATTTTTTTTTAAAGAAATTAACTTTTACTTATTTATGCACACAAGAACTGGGGTGCAGGCCTTTGCTCTCACCAAAGTGGGGAGCAGAACAGGCAGAGCCACTGAAATCTATTGCTGAGGGGAGCAGCAGGGAGATAGGAGAGGTCTGCTGTGTGCTTTGTGGGTCACTCCCTGGCCGGGGATGGAACTCAGGCCAAAGTGGCTGCAAACAGTATCAGTGCTGAGACTTAAGCCCTTGCACCACCAGGGAGGCCTCTGGCTCTTCATTTTCAAGCTGATCTGTCTAAGTAGAACAAGTTGAGGCTTCCTCTGCTCCAGGCTGCAATGTCTAATTAAAAGAGGCTGTTTTTTCTGAGCAGCAATGAATCTGATACAGCATTAAAGTAATTTGCAGATACACAAGACTTGTATAAGCTATTTTGGAAGTCGAATCTGGTTTCCTATAGAAAAATAATGGTGTACAGAAATCCTTTTACTCTTACTCCATAGCATCATCTATTGAAAGAAATTTAAAAAGGCAGAGGGAGGTGAGCTTACTAGCACAGTTAACAAGGCTCTTAGTAGGAAGGCAGAAATGCATTTGAAATGTGATTACAAATCCCCGTTCTTTACTCAAGATACACTTTGCATGGAAGTTCACAATGAGGACCCATAGGGGTTTTTGCCTGGCATGGTGGGAGGCTGGAACTGATCATTTTACACACAGTCAGCTAGGTCAAGTTAGATTTCATTGCTTTTGTCCAAATGCCTTTGGAAGATATAAGCCAAGTTCATTGTGATTTCCTGAGTAAGTTACAGAGTTACATGGATGATCAGGAGCATGAAAATATTAAAAATACCCCAACACATTTCACAGAGGGTTCAGCAGGGCATTATGGGTGGGTTTAATTGTGTCTATAATGACCTCAGGATTTTTCTTTTAAGCAGCTGGTACAAAGGGAGGAACTCAAGGAGAAACTCGCCTGTATCGTAGAGTAACAAGTTTTCTGGAAATTAAAGGAAATGAAAAGCACTTAAAATTATTAAATATCTGATGCCCAGAGGGGAAAAAATACTGTTGATAAAAGTCACTCATGTTTAGGGCTGGTACTAGACACCTCTCCAAACGTTCATGTAGTTTATTTACCTGACTCTCACAGTGACCTTGCAAACCAGGCATCATCATCACCATCATTCTGTTTTTTGTAGAGGAGGAGAGGAGACTGAGCACTGAGCTTTAGAGAAGGTAGGGTATTTACGAGGCACTCAGAGCTCCCAAGTGGGAAAGCTGTGTTTGATCTGTCTTATTCTCCAGCCTCTGGTCTTAAACTTGGTTCCACTCGGCCATTGTGGACAGAAGGATTAACATTTGTTACACCCCCAAACCCACAGCATGAAGTAGCAAAGGACACCCTCTTCTACCTGGGTGGGCCCAAGCCTTGCAATTTTCTCACTGAGGAGCACATGGACTTGAATGACAATTCTCCAGATTCTAAGAAGTTATTATTTTTAAAATGACATGCTTGATAGAGGCCTAACTGAAGTGAGCCCAGTGTGCTGTTTGATCAAGGCAATGGGATTGCAGATAGAAGTTATCAAAGACAACCACGTTGCAAGATTTTCCATTTTGCAATCTGCTTCTTAGCCCAGCTTCACACCTCTGTGCTGATGAGAATTTGGGTCTTTGCTCTGATTTGGAAGAATTTCTATCCATTAGTCACTCTTTGTGTGTTAAAACTTCAATCTGGCTGCTATCAATTTAGTGACTCTGACTTTTGTTCTTGCAAGACCTTCCAAAAGGTCTTGTTATATAAAAGCATTTAGATTTTCATCACTGGTCAATTAAGACAAGTATATCCTATCAAAATATGCTGAAAATTAAAAATTCTTTTTAGATCTCACCCTCTCCTTTGCTTTGATTAGAAATACAATAGTATTCATTGTGGACACCATAAACATACTGATAAGCAAAATGAAAAAGAGAATCTATAACGCTACTCAGATATAACTACCTTCACTTTTAGAAAATAATTTTCCTACTTTGATCTATGAACATACAAATATGGAAGAAAAATAAAACAAAGGAAGAAAAGGTACCATGACAGACACATTGTATTGAAATTTGCTTTTTTTTTTAACCTGACATGTCATGCACCATTTTTCAAGAAATAAATGTACAAGTAGAATATCTAGTTTAACATTTGCATAGCATTTTATTCTGTGCATGACTATAACGGATTTTGCCATCCCATTAACAATGGACTTTTAAGCTTATTCTAATTTCCATTTTATGTGATACTATAATAAATATCCCTGTAAAAACCTTTGCATACTTGTCCAGTGCTTTCTGAGAAAAATTGCTTGCTGGGTACAAAGGCATTTAAAAGGCATTTGAGATATATTTTCCTGCCAGAAGAATTTATCAAAGTTCCTTTCACCACTAGAGTATGTGATTCCCACCTTCACACCAATTTTTAATCCCGGGCAATATTCTTTTGAATTTATAGCCTGGGGTGGGGAAAGGCATAGAGTTCATCGTTTTAATTTGCATGGCTTCAAATACTGTGAGTTGAGTTGAATACTTTTTATGCTTTCCCCTTTCCAAAATTTGTTTCTTCATGTTATTTTTTGAGGGAACAAGCAAGGATATGTTTCTTATTGATTGATGACAACATTTTGGGCTTTAACTCTTTGTTATAAACTTGACAGTTAGAGTCTACCAATTTGTGTCTGTTAACTTACAATGATCTTCCTTTTCTCCTATGAAAGTTTTGGATGTTTACATAGTCACATTTACTTATCTTATTTGTGTGATTTCTGCCTTTGGTAATAGGTTTATAAAAGCTATATGAGGATAGATATGAAAGATATGAAAAAACTCCCAAAGATATGAAAAAACTCCCCCACCTCCGCCCTTTTTTAGTATTCCACTATGTATAGGGATGTGTATGTGTGTGAAATAATTCACCAGATACAGAGTGGAGAACAAAAATGGTGGATTTACTGAAATACACTTAGGAGTGGGCAAGACAGGAGAGGTCTGCTGCCAAATAATGTAATTTTTCAACTATATTTTCTTCTAGCACTTTTATGATTTTACTTCTTTTAACATTTTAATCTTTGATCTATCTGTAACATAGCTTAAGTTTAAACTAAGTCATATCTAATGGGTCTCAGCAATGGTTGAAGGTCTAAGAAGGAGTTTTAGAGGGCTATCAAGCAAGTGTGAATATGATAAAAATGAAGATTTAAAAAGGGTTATTGACAGAGCAAATAAACCTAGGTTAGATCATATTTTTGTTACATGTATGGAACATTACATATATGAATGCATAATTATTTATATATACATATTTCACTCATTAAGGAGTTTAAGAAGGCAGTTTTTCTTCCTCCCTACCTGTCCCTTTGATACCTTCTGCTTCTGCATCTTCTTGAAGTTCTATAAATATCAGTCTTTGTTGCGTCTTTGTGTCAGTGTTTCTTGTGATCACAGTTACTGACTCTTTTTGGTTAGTTGTGTGACTTTCAAGTCACTTAATCTCTGTCTGCGCCAATTCTTCCTGTCCATGAAAAAGGAAGTTGAACTAAGCGATATTTTCAGTTCCTTCTAGCTCTAAATTATCCTCTTCCATGGTTTACAACATTTTTCCCCCTTTGCTTTTAAGTCTCCCTCTCCATATTTCAGTAAATTACTCTCTATCTTCTAAATTTCCTTCACTCTTCTTTTTCCTTCCCTGAACTAGTATCTGATTATAACTTTTCCTCCTCCACTTAACTGACCATAATCTATAACTACAGTCTAATTTGTATTTGTTGCATTTGTTAAAGTTCTATACGCTCATGTCTTACTTTGTAAAGCAGGTCAGTAGGATTCTATCTATATAAAAGAAAATGAAATAAATTGTGTTCTTTTTTATTTAGATGGTCTCTGATTTATTAAACGGGTCAGTGAACTTAGAAAGTATTTTTACTGACCTAGTCAACATGAAGGGAAGTCTTTTGTCCTGAAAATGGTCATTTTATATTATGCAAAAAATGTTCATGCACTAGAACCTGTGATAATTATTTGAGTTCATCTCATGTGCTCTATAGAAGACTTTCTTGATGACAAATGTCAGAAGTTTAAATTGTAGGTCTGCAAGCTAAACTGCTACTTAACCTTTGTTAATTAGAAAATCAACACATTGTCATTGGAGAGAGCCCCCCCACCATGCAAGGGCTTCATGCACGTTAGTTAGAACTGTGATAATTATCCAAGGTGTGATGTGGGTTTAATTTGTAAATCATTTTTTTATGTGAAATGTTATTCAAGTATTGCAATTAAAGATTAATTATGAAAATGCTGTAACTACCCATCATGAATACAACCATTACATGCATAGAAGATTGGGGTAAATAATCAGGTATTAAATTAAACAAAAAGGGAAAATGTAATGATGGAGAGGAATTATAAAAGGACACTGTCCTCAAACATTGGAGCTTAACAGAATTCTAAGGAGCTAAGTTGGGGTCCAAAAAGACCTCTGAGCAGAGAGGTGGGCACTCATTCACCATGGAAAGGAATCACCTCAAAACACATATGTAATATCTAATTTAGTCAATAAGTAAACATTTACTTCATGCCTACTTGAAACAAGTGCCTAGGAGCCATGCTTTGTCTTGATACATGAAGAAACTATGAAATACAACACACAAGTCCTGCCCATACCTCGCAGAGGGAGAGGGGAATTTAACAAGCTCCATCAGGATGTCAATTATATTGCGTGTTATGAGGTTCAGCCACTGTGGGGAAAATAGGTCAGGCAGGAGGGGTGACTGGGGTCAGAAGTAGGGTGGGAGGCAAGGTTATGATTTATACAGGGCTGTGATGACAGGCCCCAATGAGA